TGAAATACTTCTTCATGGGGATAGTTTATTCATTCCATATATTAATTGTAGGGGGTGATGTTTTGTTTTTCACACTAGGTCATCTTTTGTGTCTATCATAGATAGGTCCCTTAACTTTTTTTGTATACTTACTTGTATGATCTAGTTAGTTAGAGGGGATGAATTTGGTATGTGTGTTCTACTCACTCAGTTTGTAATCCAACTTTCAGATTAACATGTATGGAGCTATAGCTTAGCTCTTTATTTTTTAAATATATATATATATATATATATATATTCAAATGATTTTAATTTCTTCAAAATCCATATACTCATTGTAAATGGGAAGGATGCTTTCTTAAATTTAAACTTTTTGTCATAAAAATTTTGTTTATTTTTTACTAAGTTTACTTTTGAAAGTTTAGCAATTAGCTTAATTAACTTTGTCTTTTACTGCTTTTTATTTAGCATTCACTATATTACTTTATATTCAAATTTAGCACTTCACTTTTGTAGTTTAAAATTGTAGTTTACATTGTAATCTTAAAAATTTACTCATAAGAATTTCCAACTTCCCTGTGGGATCGATATCTAAGACTCCATTAGAGCCCTTTATTACTTGAGCGATACATATACTTGTATTATTTTAGGGGATTTGACAGTTTAAAGATTTTTAAAATATAAAACAAATTTTGTTACAATTATTTTTGTTGGGATTAATTTGCATATTTACTGTTGTATCTGTTGTGGTATTTTGCAATATTGATAAATATTTGCAAAATTAACACGCTGCATCTATCCGTATCAAGTTTTTGGCCCCGTTGCCGGGGAAGAAATGAAATGTTGTAGTAAGTTATTTTATAATTTAAATTATTTTTATTTTAAACTAAAAAAAGAGTGTTTGTAGTTTAGTTTGAATATTTTCATATTTTAGTGTGTTTGCTTATTTTAATTACTTATTGTGTTTCTTTATGCGTAATGTAAGATCTGAAGATTTAGTGTCTTATGATTCCAAGTTAGAAAGAACTATTAGAAAAATTCAAAAATAACAAAAAGAGATTGAGCATATTTGCAAAATAGCATACAATTTGAGTAATGTTGGAAATAAATATGAACATCATTAGAGACCTTTGAGAGATTATAATAATCCTACAACAGATGAAATTCATTTGAGTATACAAAACCCAGTTATAGCTGCAAGTTCATTTGAGCTTAAACTTAATATTATCCAAATGGTACAAAATAATCAATTTGGAGGAAAAGATCCTAATTTATACCTTGCTAGTTTTCTAAAATTGTGTGCTACTTTTAAATTTGATGGAGCATCGAATGATACCGTCAGACTTAGACTTTTTACATTTTCACTAAGGGATAAAACTAAGAAGTGGTTAAACTCGTTAACTCCTGGATCTATCAGAACTTAGGGAGACTTATCATAAAAAAATTTATTTATATTTTCCCACTTTCAAAAACTGTAAGTTTAGAAACGATATTACATCTTTTTTTTCAGTTTTAAGAGGAATCAATTTATGAAACCTGGGAAATATTTAAAAATCTCCTTAGGAAGTGTCCACACCATGCGTTGCTAGATTTGTTAATAATTCAAATTTTTTATAATGGACTGGTTGGATCTCAAAGATTGATAATTGACGCTGCTGCTGGTGGATAATTAATGTCAAAACCATTCAATGAATCATAGGCTACTAATATTTTTTAATGGCCCTCTGAAAGAGCAAATATAAAAAGAGTAGCTAGTATTCATGATTCGAATGCAATATCTATGTTAGCTGCCCAAATAGCTACTATATCAAAGAAGAAAGATCATTATGGAATGAGTTATTCTCAGACATCTCCTGTGTTTAAGGAAAACTCATTGAGACAAATGATAAAATCTCAATCTTCTTATATCTTCTTATGAGAATTATGAGAACTTAAATGCAATAAATAATTTTTCTAATAATCCTTATGACAATTATTATAATCCTGGTTGGAAGAATCATCCAAATTTTAGTTGGAGTAATAATAACTCTAAAGCTGCAAATCCAAAATGGGGGAACAACACTGCGAAACTATTGAGAAACTCCAACAATCAAGAAAATTAAACTTATAAACCTTATTACCCTCTAGGTTTTATTAATTTACAGAGTAAGGAGAAAAGTTGTCAAATGAAAGATGTGATATTGTAAATGACAAGTTAATTAGAAAGTTAAGGAGTTGCAATTAGAGACATAGAAAATAAATTGGGATGTATTGCTACTGCACTTAGCAATAGACATCCAGGAACGAGCCTTGTAATGTTGAAGTAAATACTAAAGATCAGAACAAAGAGCAAATTAAGGCTATTCAATTGTAAAGTGTAAAAGAATTTGAAACCAGAGTTCAAAAAGAAGTAGAAGATGAAGTTGAAAAAGATGAAGGGGAAAATGAAAAATCTAGTGAACATTTTTTATTTTGAGTCAGAATGTCCTATTAAACCATTGAAAATCACTGTAGAAATACCACCACCTTCATTTCCTAAAAAATTGAAACAAAAAAATAGAGAAAACAAATTTTCAAATTTTTTGTAGATATTGAGGAAATTAACGATAAACATTCGATTTGTTGAAGCCTTAGAACAAATGCCAATCTATGTGAAGTTCATGAAGGATATACTTAATAAGAAAAGAAAGTTTGTAGATAATGAGACTGTGTTGCACTCAGTGAAGAGTGTAGCGTTATAATTCAGAAGAAGTTTCCTAAAAAACTTAAAGATCCTGTAAGTTATATTATTCCTTATGTTATTAGCGAAAGATTTTCTGGAAAAGTTTTATGTGATTTAAGTGATCAAGTAAA